CGATGGAGAAAAGTAAAACAAGGTATGCTGTGAACTACTCGTGCAGACTGCGTTTCTTCTGTCCGGACTTATTGTCCGATACAACTTCAGAAGTCAGCGGAACCCGCCTCCAGACGCCCAAAGCACGGCAGCCGATCATCTCAGCAGCGGAAGAAATAATCCCGCTCTTGCGTTCCGTAATGTTTTTTCTAGGCGGCGTCAACGGCCGCCTGTCTGATGACATCAGTGTGGGATACACGAACATTGGTTCAAGCTTTTGATTGATTGATTGATTTGTGGGGTTTAACGTCCCAAAACCACCATATGAATATGAGAGGCGCCGTAGTGGGGGGTTCCGGAAATTTCGACCACCTGGGGTTTTTTAACGTGCACCCAAATCTGAGCACGCGGGCCTACAACAATTACGCCTCCATTGGCAATGCAGCTGCCGCAGACGGGATTCGAACCTGTGACATGCGGGTCAGCAGTCCAGTACCTTGCCAATATACCACCTTGGCGGGGCCGGGTTCAAGCTTTTATGCATCCACTACAGAGGAGGAAATGACGCTGACTTCTAAAGTTCTAACCGACTATATGTTGGTGTCACGATTCGACGAAAACGCAAAGCAAGAACGTGACAACTGTGAACAATTTGTCTGGTTTGATCAATGCACCATCGAAAACAAAACTAGCAGTTGTGCTTGTACGAATACAATAGTTTGGCGAAGCTTCTTAAAAGGGAAATGCAAACGGCTTCGCCACTCATCTCGCTGCTGGCTTTCAAAAAAGGCCGTAGGGTGGTGGGCGGGAAGAAAAAGCGTTTTTTGCGCTCGGACGCGGTAACGACAGAGTGAGTGTGAGGCGCGCGCGGCGCAGCGCGAGCCATGGGCCACCGTGCCTGCGCTCATGGGAGCATACACCTGTTGTTTTATTCGGCGCGCTTGTGAGGCACACGTAGTTCTGATGGCGACGGTGGAGTGCCGACCCAAGGAGCTTCGCTTCTAACAATCGACAAGAATGACACGCTGTCGCGGTGGAGGGCAGGTCACTGCAGTGAATGTCGTCTGCTACGAAGAAATTCCTCCTGGCCCATGCGTCCACTCCTCGGCTCCACCACTGTAATCACGTGCTCTACGTCACTGTTCTCCTATTGGTTCACCTTGGGTGGACGCTCACCAAAGACGCCAGTGGACGCAAAGTTTTTAGCCGTGGCGATGTGCACTGGAGCGACTAGCAAACGCTTTAAGAACTTGTTTTTGGATCATCCAACGGCTACCGCTTCGCTGTTGGGGCAAAATCGCTGTAATGTTAAAGAAGCTTTAGTCGAATAGACAGAGGAACCCGTATGAGATAGACGCTCAGCTGAAGAGGCAGACGCTATTTAGCATTCGAAGCACAATTGAAAGACCTAACTTTTTGCTCGTGAAAAAACACGAATGGAAACTTTCTAGCTCAAACAAAGGTAGTTATCCCATTGGTGTGTGCTGCATTTTGTCTCAAGAGTCACTTTTGAAAAACGGACGACTTTTCTGTATTACTCACGAAACGATACCCAGATCGTGGCGAGACAATATTTGTGATAGTGTTGGTTGGTGCAGTTCGGCTTTGTAGCATTCGCAGCATTTCCGAGTAGTGAGGTATATTCGTTTGAAGGTTGTGCCTCGGTAGCATCGGAAGCTAACACTTGAACTGTCCGAGTCTAAAGCGACAGCATATATAGTTTAGTAAAGTAAACAGCACGAAAAACAAAGACAGACAAGTAGGAATCCTACTTCTCTGTCTTTGTTTTTCGCACTGTTTAGCTTGAAACGGAATTGTTTACCAGCTTGCCCAGTTTTTAATACTACATATCTTAGCACCTTTAGATTGGCGCCATGCCGTGCGGCACATTTTAGCTCAGCGATTTCGCTTTGCTTGTTAGTGAGTTTTCCGATATATGGCACATAGCTCACGGGTGCTGTTTGCAGCATATTTCTCGCACAAAACAATGTGAGATGGTCACATTAATCCCTTTAGAGACGTAATAACAGGGTGAAGAATTTCAACAAGCTATGACGCGAATACAAGAACAGGAATGCACTAGACAAAGGCTCTTTTCACCTGTTGAGCGCACTAAAAGCTCTATAGCTTCTCCACGCATAAGCTAAAAGTGTAGAGAAGGAATCATACGGACATGAACAACTAACCCGCCCTACCCCTCTTTTATGGGGTCTTAATACCAGAATATGTAATGCCAGTACAGTATTGTTAGGTATCGAAATTCCTCATCTGTGTGATGAAGCCAAGATCCACTCACAATTGATTCAGCGCCCGACTTCCTTACATCACATAAAACCTGTGCATTACATAGTTTTCTTTCCAGTTTATATGGTCTGTTTGAAACTGTAAGACTTTAATCATTTACTAATATTCCTAGCAAACCTTTTTCTCGGGGGCAGTATAACGCGTTGTTGGAGATGGAATTCTTGGCCTCAGATGCTCATTGTTAGGCATACATTACGCGAAAATGAGGCTGCAGTCTGTAGCTTGTTCTCGTGGTAATTTCTGAGAGGTCTCACTGCCTGCCATGCATTAGAAGCTTAAGGTGACAGCAAAAAACAAAAAAAGCACGCGCAGTCTCCTGGGAGAGATGCCCTCTTGCGCGTAAGCGCGGTGTCGACAGCTGACAAAACAAAAACTGCGACAGCACATAGTGAGCTAAGTTGGGTGTAATTGCGGTGTCTGACAGAACTGTGAGCAACACCTTGACGGAAGCGTGATAAGACAAGCATGATGAGTATACGGCAAGTTTGGCCGTTGGGTAAAGATAGATAGCTTCGAATGGGTAGTGCATAAGACATGGTTACAAAAGATAGAAGCGTAGACAGCACAAGCGCCAACTCCAAGCGAAGTTTATTTTAGAACATGCAAGAAGATATACTATAACAAATCACAACAATCTCATGCATCCCGATCGTACAGTGACAATATTCAAAATCCTTTAGAATGTTAACAAAAAGCCATTCGTACTACCAAGAAGAATACCGCATGCATCGACAGCAATGACACCCAAAGAAGGAAGAAATATTGAAGAATTTAAAGAAACGCTGAAAGTAGAGCATTCATGACAATTTATAAAAACCACAAAATAAAAATGACACATCATAGATGCTTCTATATTTCAGGTGCGGCATCAGATAAGTACCCCAAATTTGACTCTAATCCCTACGCTACCATCCCGGGTGCGATATTAGAAAGATATCATAAGGAATGAGAAATCTTTATCACGGAGGTGGACAGACAGCTGGCGTACGCACATGGAGCCTTTCCTCTGGATGACACAAGCCTCGGCTCTCCCTTGAGTTATTTACCCATTTTGACGGAACAAAACAGAGGTTAGTTCAAACCGCGGGTGGATTGCTACCACACTGACGGCAATGTAAGGCCAAATCGGACAGCGGCGCACATTTTAAGCAGCTTTGGTGCTCGCGTAAACGAATGAACAGACAGTGGCCGATCTCACCCACGTAAGCTTTTCAGTAAGAAAGAGAGATCTGGTACACGATGACTTTTACACACGACAAAAAAACGAAGGCCACGCTTTACGGTGCACTCCCGCTTTGCTCCTTATATTCTTTTTTTGCTGATACTACAGTCTCGGGCAAATCTACTAAAGACGACATTAGCATGAAGCGTGACGCAACTCTCTTGAAGCGATGGGGAGTCCATAAATGTATGATATCACTGAGATTGACCTGCTTTGTTCACTCTTCATGTGCCAGCTTTCCATCAGCTCTTACTTTTTTTAGCACACTTTCTTAGGTGGCTGCTATTGCACGTCAAGGTAACCAGCCTTCCACAACTTTTCTGTCTCTTTGTCACTGCTTTGCTTCTACAGGAGCGGGCTAGACAGTGAGTTGCCACACTGGATACGAGACTCCGCAATATTGTTTTTCACATGTCTCGAATGGCCTGACTGATAGCTGAGCAAAACGTTTTGGGTTGTTAGGCTACACTGCCAGCGAAACTCACTAAGGTAAAATAACAAATGGAGGTCGAACTACTGCAATGTATCGTTCTTAGCGGTCTCACGTGAACATGAGTCTCGGCCCTCATCACTTGAACACGTTTATAACACAAACTTTTTTCTGATGATATGACACCTGCCAAGAAAGAACAAGCAGTAAAATGGCCTACCTTGTCTGCTAGAACACAGAGACTACACTGAATGGCCCTATCCACCTTTGCTAACAAGATTGCACCCATAATCTTTTATCTTATGCACTACCCAATTGTACTAAAGAGGAGCCGGGTTAGATAAACGTGTGAGAAGCGCGTGAGGCAGCGCAGCACAGGTCGGTGACGCTGACTTCCTTTCCAGATCTAGCACTCGCGTTCGGAGAGGCTGTTTAGGCAAAAATACTCATGCTTGCAGGTGATTACCTCAGAATTATACCAAACAAGCGTACCAGTTATCAAAATACTAATATAAAAATAGTCGATTCTTTGCAAATGAGATCTGCGGAACGCCGCAAGGTGGCCGACTGGTTTAGAAAGAGAAAGAAGGCAACTACCCGTTTGTAACAGTAAGCAACCAGGAAATCTGTAAAGATGTCTCTGAAAGGAAAGGAAAATTTGTCCTGATCCGGCGTGCCTTGTTTGAAAGATTCTTTTGAGATGTAAGAATAAAGTAGTGTCCTCTCTAGGGCAACATTTACGTCCACGAAGTATCGTGTGAACATGCGCTTCGGGAATGGTAGGATGCTCCTGTGATTCATCCACCCACAGACTTGTCGGTCAACAGCGCATTATTTTTGTCAGAAAGAACATGGTGAATCATTCAGAAATGATTAAACATATATATTGTACAGAAATGTTGCGAATAATATTGTAGATTTTACAAACTACGGCTAGAAATCACGCTGCATTGTGTACGTTATGTTTAGGGTACAGCGAGTAAACGTGTTTGTTTTTTGTTGTTGCCATGCATATGTTTGCCACTGTTATTAGAACGTGCAGCAGTAACTGTGTTCACGGTGCAGGCATGGCGTCGTCACGCTGGTTCCCGGATCCCGACCAGAGGTCAGAGGGCTGGTTCCTCACAGGTAGCGCAGCGCCCCTCATGGCACTGCTTGCAGTATACGTGTACGGCGTCAAGGTACTGGGACCACGGGCTATGAAGGGCCGAGAGCCGTTCAGCATCAAGCCTCTGGTGCTAGCATACAACCTCTTCATGGTGCTCAACTGTGCCTTCTTTCTAGCCGAGTTTGTGCGGCTAGCATTTATCGAGAACGGCTACAGCTTGATGCTGCAGGAGGTCGACTCATCTCAACGGCCTGCCACTATGCGGCTAGTCACCCTCTCATGGTGGTACTACATGTTTCGCATCTTCGAGTTCACGGAGACCTTCTTCTTTGTGCTGCGAAAGAAGTTTGGACAGGTATGTTGGTCTTACACTTTCAACTCGATTTTTCAATACGTGAGGTGGTCAAAGATGGAGGCCAAAGATGTTCAAGCGCGTGATTTTTTGCTTTTTGGTGTTCCCGAAGCAGTCAGTGAATTGTCATTCTTGTAGAAGGATTGCTAATAAAGTTGGCCGAGCGGAACATTGCAATAAAGATTTGCTTAAAGTTCTTATAATAAAACTACGATACATCCAAGGCAAAAGAAGGCCTTGAAAACATCCTTTACAGGCGTGCATTAGCAATTTGTTGGGAAGCAGACTACCTGCAGTGTTTTACACTTTGCTTATTTTACTCGCCGAAACCTCTTCTCGATTGGCATGTAATTCATCCTGAAATTTTTCATGTGCTCAGAAGAGGCTATCTAAGAAATTATCACGCCAGTATTGCCCGGATGAATTGTATTTCTGAGTCTAAAATAAACAAAAAGAAATGACAGGGAAATTAACCGACTTTTACTTGGTTGGCTATACGCCATACGTGCACCGAGAGAAAGAGGTGTAATAAATAACGTAGAGAACAAAGAAGAAGAACCGAATATTTAGTGACAATACGCTTAACGTGAACTCGCTCTAGTAGCTCACAGACACGCATCAAGTATACATATATAAGGAACCCAGTAGACCTTCTGTGATTTCATGCATGCGCGACACCCTCGTTGAAGGTCCCCGAACAATATCGTGGGAAAATAATCTTGGATCTAGACCATCAAGTTTTGTTCCAAGAACACATAGCTTTAGTTATTTATTTAAGCATGCTGCCATAGCAAGATATCACAAGAATGACCACATACATACACTAAAACGCAATGAAGAGTTTGCCCATATAATAAAACGTGAAGAAGAGTTTGTACAATGAAAACATAGAACTTTATCAAAAAAGCATGCTCACCTAATGATGAAAGAGTTTTATGATTGTTCCAAAAAGTCATGATTAGGCAATTCAGACAGAGGTATCTTGAGACTATGGATTTCCCAAGTCAAATTTACCGGAAGAAAAAAAATCGAAAACAACTAATGGATGATTTTAAAGTAACTCTTTTATATAGTAACTTTTTTGGTTACCCGAGATAAAGGATCTGCAAAAGCAATAAGCGCATCCATAATTGTTTCCCCATGAGTAAATTGATGAAGCAGGACAAGACGGTAACAAGTACGTCTGTGGGCCAAACGTCTTAGCTCTAGCTTGTCAGCGTGCATTGTTTGCGGAAGTGGTGATAATAGAGATTGCATATCAATTTAATCACTTTCTTCTGAATAGACTCGAACACGTGCATATGTTTGACATGATGTACCAATCACACAATAGATGCGTACTCAAGACATTGCCTTATTGGTGATCTGCAGGCCATTAGTTTACATTATTTTAATAAATCTCTGAGGTTTCTCTGAAGATAACCTATATTCTTAGTTGCTTATTGGTTATGTACATATTTTCAGCGTGTATTATTAGGGGAAAAAGTAACACCGAGAATATTGAACGAGTCTATATTTGAAAGATTGTGGTCCAAATTATAATGTTATTACGAGTACAAGCCCAGGAAAGAAAAAAAAAGGAGAACGTGAACTTGTGCAGCCTACCTACGCCATCATTACCGGACCGGCAACCTCACCCTGTAAATAAACATAGTTCAAGCATACCCGCAAGAGGTTTGGTAGGAAAGGGGGGGGGGGAGAGGTGCTACGTATTTCCACCAAGCTCCAAGCTCAATCGGCTATCCACTAAGTACCACGTGTTAATAAAGTGGTGGCACGGTTTTTACGAACGCTCGACGTACACGTCGTGCTTGTGCCCGCCCGTGAACCTAAACACAAAAAGGTGCACGTGAAGGACCCACTCAGGAAGCAAACGTTTCCAGGCACTGTTTAAAAAATCCCGTGTCCAAACTGAGACTATGTCACTATCGGGGAGAGTAGTAATTTCGAAAGATCACTGAAAGATCACATGACGGTATGAAGAACGTGGTGCCCAGCGGCTCGTGATACTACCTAATCACGACCTTGACTGGGCCAAGACAACCGTAATCGCGAAAGAAGGAAACTGGTATTTGCGTCATCATCAGGAATTCATTCTTATCCAGAATATGAAAAAAGCGCTGAACAGAAACGAAAACAATCTACCACCAGCGTAGGCTAGGTGGCACAGCCGCATAATAAAACGGACATAAGCTCTTCGCTGGTGCTCTTTACTCTTCACAAGGCTACCTATGGTTGCCGAGACGTCATTTTTTTAATATTTTATACCTACCAGCTCTCTCAATTCAGTCGGCTTTCTTTCATATCGTGTTGATGATTCTTCGCGACCAAACAATGCTTTATCAAACCTTCAACTAACACAGAGAAAAAACTGTGTTGGTATACCTATAAGAAAGCAAGATATAGATAGGTACATGAATTCACTTTTTGGGGTGATGATGACCTTACGCTAGTACTACATTCCCCACTTTTTTGGATGCGAAAATACACATGGACTTTGCGTTGGCATTGCACTGCTAAAGTACATTATATTCCACAATCTGTAAAACCGGGCTTGTAGTAGCATTTTTTACGGTGGTGTATCCTAGACGAGTGTTCACAAGTTTCGATGCAAATACGAAGGTTCTCATAATATTTAGTTGACAAACAGGTCGGCTGGGACGATTTATCGGTGATGAATCAATTACGCATAACAACAGCCGCGTGAAATCCTTGAGGCTTTTTGCATACAAAAAAGTGCAGAACACCGTGTCAGCGTTGCTTCGTTACAGATCCTCAAAATTAGTTGACGCACATATCTAAATTGTGTTTTGTAATTGTATACACTATGTTGTTCCTGATTTTTTTTACTGGTTCACTTTTCCTATCACAAATGAGACCGCGTCAAAATCAATGCAACACTGCTTTGGCAGGTGAGTGGTCTGCACGTAGTCCACCACTGCGTAATCGCGTGGAACATGTGGATCTGCGTGACGTATGGAGCCCAGGCACAGACCATCTTCGTGACGTGCATGAACACACTGGTGCACTTGGTGATGTATTCCTACTACTTCCTCGCTGCACTTGGGCCGCGCGCTCAGCGGTTCCTCTGGTGGAAGCGGTATCTCACACAGGTTCGTATGCACTCCTTCCTCAACGCGTCGAGCTTTCTGACAAATTTCGATACAGGTTAGGCTATTTTCCGAATGGCATTTACTTTCAAGCTGATACTCTCACTAATTCAGTGGAATGTAATTGCCAATAATACGATGTGTAATGAAATTATGGAGATTACAGGATTGGAGACATTACAATTACAAATTATGACATTCTCTATATCTTTTAGGCATCACTGTGTGTCAGTTCTTAGAATAACTGTGTCAATGAAACAAGCCCTATAAACTCCCCTTCTCCCCTTTATGTAGCTTAAGCTTCATGTAGTTTAACTTTCAGTTATATAGCTTTTTTATATATAGTTATGTACTTGCTCTTGGCTTTCTGTGGTTTATTATTTATTTTGAAGTGCATGCCCTCTGCTCTGTATTATTAGTTGTGGAGATATATAATGTTGCAAGGTGCTTGCGCAACGTGTTTACTTCGATCAGTCGTACAACAATACCAAATAATGCTAATGATAATGTTGCCAATACTAAAGCCACAACAATTATTTATGTTTGAGACCTTTAAGGTGCAACACGAAATCCCTCGTTATTCCAACAAGTGACCGCTGTTAGAAAGATATTGAACCACATCCTTATGAACTTTGTTAGTTTTTTCAATAAACACTTTGAGAGCTGTTTTTTTGTAATTTAGCTGCTCAAAAAACCAAGTTTCCGCTTAAGCAATATGGTGCAAATGCACTTGCATCATTACGAAGCAAGCACATAACGACTGTGCCAAAGCTGTGACGTTAAAGTGGCTTGTTTATATAACAATAAAAGGCAAGACTATCGACTTACACATAACGTGGAGCTGTTGATTCGTTTCCCCTAAGCATTGCAGAATTCTGTCAAGTGTTGGCCCCTTCACATCCTTTTGGTCAGTGAAGCATCAACTATTAATCTGTGATGCAGTTCTAGGGGATATAGTCTGAATGTATTTATATTGGCAGTACCAGGGGAGCAATTGCTTACGCTACAGGCCTATTAGCGTGTGCAGTTTTACACGCACACACGTAACACTTGTGTAGGAGGTATTTATATGAATATATTCTCGCACTCGAAACCGCCCCAGTTGAGGTTTATAAATGTGAATTGCCGAAGTGTCTTAAACAAATTAGAATCTCTTGAATGCCTACTTCTCGACCTTGAGCCAGACTTTGTTGCTTTAACCGAAACCTGGTTAAATAATGACATTTTAGATAGTGAACTAACGCCCCCAAATTACAATATAATACGGAAGGACAGACCGACACGAGGCGGTGGAGTAGCGTTAATGATAAAACGCGAAATTCAATACACTGTGCTGCCAGAGGTTGAAGGTGTAGAAGCTGTCTTTTTGAAACTAAAATTTGGCCTTCACACAACAATTGTGGGCTGCTGCTATCGCAGTCCTACTTCTGGCGAAGATAGCATGCAATCGCTCTACAACTACATTGAACAAAACATACAAAGCGCAAGATTCATCTTGTTGGGTGATTTTAACCTTCCTGATATCGACTGGCAATCCATGAAATTTCATTCCGCATGCTCAGATGTCCTTATCGACACAATGCTGCGATTTATTCTTCACCAAGTAGTCAACCAACCAACACGTGTCCAGGGAGAAACTTCAAATATTCTTGACCTTATATTCTTGAGTAACCACTTCCCAGCCGATGAATCAAAGATTGAAGTTATGGATGGCATATCTGATCACAAGCTCACTTTGTGCACTGTCCCCTTTCGTGATAAAATAGAACCAACGAACATAAAAATTACTTACCCGGATTTTAAATATGCCGACGACACCAGCATACTAAATTATCTAATTATAAAGTTTCCGTCCTTCGAAGAATTGTCGAATGATAGTTCCACGACCATTGAAATATTATGGTCTCAGTTAAAAGAAATTATGCACCACTGTATTAATACCTTTGTACCTCTTAGAGTGAAAAAAATTAAGAAACACAACCCGTGGATAACACGTGAGGTAATACATGCGAAACGCAAAGTAAAGCGAATACGAAAGAGAATGAAACGAAAACCCGGAGCAGTAACAGTAGATAATTTGACTGCTGCTGTGAGTGACTTAAAAACAAAAATCAAAACAGCGAAGAGCAACTATTTCACTAAAACATTGCCAAACTTTCTAAAAAATTCACCCAGCAAGTTTTGGAGCTACCTAAAGCCTGCAAAAAACAACAAAAGCAACACACCCCCGGAAAAAGATAACCCGATCACTGCAGACAAAATGAACAACTATTTCAAGTCTGTATTCACTGTCGATGACGGAAACATTCCAGACATCGACACTAGTGCGGAAGGTACCCTGGAACCGATTATTGTCAATGAGGCCGGTGTCATAAATCTCTTGTTAACTTGGACACAAAAAAAGGAGCAGGGCCTGACAACATTCCTAACATCTTTCTTGTAAGATATGCAGAGGTGCTAGCTAAATATCTGTGCGTCATGTTTAACAAATCACTATCAACGTGCTCGTTACCTGTGGAGTGGAAAAAGGCCAAAGTTGTTCCTGTGCATAAAGGAGGATGCGGAAATGATATATCTAACTTTAGACCTATATCCCTGACATGTACAATCTGTAAAATCTTGGAGCACATAATTCTTAAACAAATAACTGTTTTCCTAGAAGAAAAACGTATATTATCTCCCTATCAGCATGGCTTCCGCCGAGGTCTTTCAACCATAACTCAATTAGTGGAATTAACACATGAGGTATCCCAGAGTATTGACAACCAAAAACAAACTGATCTAATCTTCCTCGATTTTGCCAAAGCATTCGACAAGGTATCGCACAAGAAACTACTTCAAAAACTTGAGGCCACCTTAGGAAATTCTACTGTTCTTAACCGGATCAAAAATTATCTTACTGATCGTACACAGTATGTGGAATTTAACGATGAAACCTCTGCTACCACCTCCGTCACATCTGGAGTTCCGCAGGGCTGTGTGCTGGCGCCAGTTTTGTTTCTTCTCTTTATTAATGATTTGCCTACAAATATTAAGGAAAAAATCAAATTATTCGCGGATGACTGCGTGCTATATCGAGAAATAAACTCCACGGAGGACCATGTAGCTTTAAATAGTGCTTTACAAGATGTTTCCTGCTGGTGCCGTAAATGGCAGATGTCACTTAATGCAAACAAGTGTACAATTTTATCAGTAAGTCGAAAAAAAACTAGGTCAAATTTTCTTTACACCATTAATGACATTCCCATAACTAGAGTAAGTCAGCATAAATATCTTGGAATTATTATAACTGAAGATCTAAGATGGGATGCACACATAAGTTACGTTACTTCAGCTGCACTACGCCGTTTGTTTACACTCACATACCGGCTTCGCCAAGCCCAGCCTTCTCTAAAACTGCTTGCATACACTTCCCTTGTGCGATCATTACTGGAATACGGTAATATTATTTGGTCACCATTCACAAAACAGCAAATCACGAAACTGGAAGGAATACAAAGGAAAGCTTTGAGGTTCATCTACAACAAGTACAGACATACAGATTCTCCGACTGAACTAATGAAAAAAGCTGGATTACTTACTCTAATGAATAGAACAAGGTTAGCACGTGCAAAATTCATACATGAATTAATACATGGTCATTTAAACATTGAAGGATCCGCCTATCTTACGTTTGATCAAACTAGAAAAACACGCCAGAATCACCCAATGAGACTTAACGAATACTCCTTCAACACAAACTGCTTTAGGTACTCATTCTTTCCGTTAGCCACTAATGAATGGAATAAACTGGATCCGAGTATCTCCAGCACTACCGAATTAGCAAAATTTCTAACCCTTGTCGAAAATGAACTTTGTATTATGCAAACGGAATCACCTGGTTGATTTTAATATGGGTGTTCGTGTGAACAATGTACGAGCGAAGTATCATGTCATCATTTTTTTTTCTTTAAGCAATTTTTAGTACTGAATCCAGGTGAAGAGAAATCGCCCTGTTGATTCTTGAACATGTTTCTGTTTTTCAGTGTGTATAAATTTGCCCTTCCTTGAAATACTTTGCCATATTGTAGGGTAGTTTCTGATTGCTGTGATTTCTTGTTGTGTTTCTTGATGCATATGCCAATATGTCAACCAATGTGTCAACCAAGTCGCTGCATTTATTTTCTTCTGACAACTTCTATTTACACTAATGTTTTATGCCTTCTTTGATCTGAAATTGTTAAATGATCCGATTCTGTTAGTTTCATTCTGTACTTTATCGCGATGTATGTCTTTATTGTGTACCTATTCGAATTTTTATGTTCACGCCCTTCCTGCTAAAATCCCTGATGGGATTGGCAGTATGTCGAAATAAATAAATAAATAAATAAAATATACAATAATAGCACACTCGCGCGCACACACAAACATGGGTGTAGACACAACCTCTACCTTTAACCTATAGAATTATTATAAAGTTTGCAGGCGTTTTACGTCCCGAAGCCATATTATGATTATGAGAGACGCCGAGGTGAAGCTCCAGACATTTCGACCACCTGCAATGGGCCCTTTAGTGTGCACGCATATCTGTGTTTACGGACCTCACACATTTTCGCCTCCACCAAAACGTGGCCACCATGGTCGTGATCGATATCATGACCTGCGGCATCCTATAAATAAAATCAGGGCTCTACAGTTGTGGTGCCTCATCGCGTAAGTGAAAAAAAGAGTATTACAGGAAGTAGTCAGCTGCTCTGCTAGAGGCGGGCGTACTGGCAAGCTGACCTTACCAAAACGGCTCGCGATGCAGCTGCTGCCAAGCTCACCCGTTCCGCAATCAAGGGCTTGCCCTACCTGCAAGAATAAATAAGAAAAGCAATCCTGGCTACGTAACTACCACATGCACAACAGTTCAAACGATGGTGCATCCGCCGTTTTCTGCGTGTGGATTCATATTAGCTTTCGGACGACTCAAGCAGTTCAAAAATTAGGCCAAAAACTGCACATCTTCACATATACGCACA